TTCTCAAAGATAACGGTGCACAAACATATTATTGTTCCTGAATCCCTTCCTAAAATAAATAGAATGTCAACTTCCATCATTTGCCCTTTGATTGGTGAAGCTGCTGCAATGACATCTCATTAACAATACTGCGGTCTGCGCGCTTGATTATAGACCCGTTTTGGAATCACAACAGTGTTACATAATCGGGAGCCAAAAGAACGTCAATTTGTGCAAAGACTTAAACATCGGCCCTGATATAATGTGATGAATCTTTAGTGATTTTTCTCTGCTGTGTGTTGTTGTCCTTGCCAATTTCACAATAGTGAGCAGAGGATGTTACATAGCAATAGCAGTGCTAGTTAGTTATGTGGTGCTGCTCAAGACACAAAGGTATCTAACTAACGGAGTTCACTGAGAGAGCAAGGCTAGCCACAGGGTCACTAAAGGACTGATACTAATCTAGAGAGAATGGTCTACAGCAATACTCATTAATGGACTGGTACAAGCCTCAAGCGAGTGTCACACACGAAACTAACTGCACACTATCAATTTTCCAGAAGAAAAGACATTAACTAGTTTTATCTCTCTCTATAATATATATAAAAATATGTCAATAAAATGTATGAGAATGTAGCCTGCATACAATGGCCATTTGTGTCACTAATGTAAGACTCTGTAGAATTTACTGTGAGATAGCGTTCCAATTATGCCAAGTATCACAAAATATCTTAATCGAAATGTCATTCAAATCATTGTAGGGAATGTGAATGGTAATCAGCACTGAGCAGCTGTCTGGTTTACATGTGCCAGAGCTTGGTTCCTTTGTGGAACAGCACAAGTTGCGTATTGCAAAACAACATGATTATAAATGTTCTTTTCTTAATTCAAGCTTTTCTGCCCCACGGGTTGTAAGTTTACCTATACATTCAACTCAAATAGATTTCTGTCCCCTGGAGAAATCCATATAAAGAAGATAATGAATGTACCACTTATTACCTTGAACCTTCATCTGCATGCAAAAGAGGTAATTAACGATAGCATTCAGATGATTTCACATTTCCTCAATAAACAAGGTACCCAATGGGGCTGGATTTACTCTGTTTAGGTAATATTTTAATGGGTCCAAAAATTTGGTATGGCTCAACCTCAAAGCAGTTTTTTTTGTTGCTTCTTAAAACAGTTTACAGAAAACTAGCTTCAAAGTTCAGAATCTGCCAAATTTCACATTCTTTGAAATGTTACGTTAACCGAGTAAATCTAGACCAAGATGGAATTTCTCTCTAAGAATGAATATATGAACCTCAGGCAAGTTTCCTTACTCCGCACGCCTCTATTTACCCAGCAGTAAGTAGGAACCCGGTTGTTAGTCAATTGGCGGATTGCTTTTCCGGGAGTAATAATCCCTTCAGAAAAATAATAATATTTTGGTAACTTAATCCATGACTGTTTGCGGGACACTGCTTTGCACAATTGGCTACTGCACTTCGCCCACAAAATGTACAGTGAATTCACTTTACAGTGTATCCTGTGAAGCGTTTTGAGACGTCTCAACGACATGATAAAGCCCTGTATCAATGCAAGGATTATTATTTTTGTTTAGCAATAAAATAACCTGATGATACTGTTGGCATATCTTGACAATAAATTACTGCGACAAGTTTACTTTTAAAGAACGAGAATGCCTATAAATAGAGTTTAATTTGCTTCAAAGAATTAAAATTAAAAGCAGAAATATGCTCTAGAGTCCATTCCATCAATGCATTTCATAGCATTGCAGCTGTTTGAGAGAGTTCAATACGTATCCTTGCTGATTAATGTATGTGAAGCAATGATTAATGTACACGAAGCAAATTAGGTCCAAAAACTCACATCAATTAAAATTCAGATGAATCACACACATCAGTACAGAAATAAGACTTTGAATTGAAGATTTAAAGTTAGACTCAGCTCAACAGAAATGGTAGAAAATCTAGCCCCAGTAGATTGTTGGTTTGGCAAATGAATGCACAGCTTTCATACCACAACTACTAATATAGCATGTTTAGATCCAGCAAAACACCTCACTAAAGGCCTAAGGTGGAGTCAATGTACATTCCCCATCACATCCCTCTTCAATGAACAATTGGTGAGCAATATTGGCAGAGGCCTTGGAGCAGACACTGTGCCTGCTCTCCCAGTCAGAGTGTATGTCGTGTAGGATTAAAACACGAGATGGGGGAGAAAGATGAATAAAAACGCCAGAGTATCAGATAGGTAAATATTCCTGCTGCTGTGATATTTCAAATGATGCTTCAGCTTTAACATCTAGATCCCTTTCCATCTCACCCCTCTCTATCTACCTTTAAATCATGCCTAAAAACTTACCTCCTTGACCCCACCTATAGTCACCACCTTCCCTTGCTCAGTGTCCAACCTCCTCATTGTGAAGTGTTCGAAGACCACTTCACAATTATTATTATATAAATAATAATTCTAACATTTGATAAAGTGCCTTTCATGTGAGGAAGGTGTCTCAAAGTGCTTAACAAGATTTATTGTAAAGTGGAACCAATTTGTGCACATCAGTGTCCCACAAACAGCTATGAAGTGAGTGACCAATTTTATTTAGGGGATTGTTGGCCAAGACACTGGGAGAGAGAAACTCCTTTCTCTTTTCAAAGAGAGCAATAGGATATTTAAGGTCCACCTGAACAGGCAAACGGGACCTCAGTTTAACATCTCATCCGAAGGACGGCACCTCCGACATTGCAACACGCTCCCAATACAGTATTGGAATGTCATCTTAGATTATGAGGTCAAAGTGTTTAAGAAGCTGAACCCTTTCCGACTCACATTTTGAATCCCACCTTTGAAAGAAGTGACTCGTTTGGAAAAAGACAATTTAAAACGAAAGAAGATAAAGTCAAGAAAAATAACATATTCTAAAGTCTGTGAAAACATTTGTCAACAGTGAAGTCTCAGAATGAAACGATTTGGGATTTTGAATTGTTACGTGATGCTTCCTTTGCTGTGGGACCATTGCTGTTCATCACTGAGACTGGCACCACTCCAACATGTGGCATTAAAACCTTGTTAAATCCTGCTGTACAGACACAGAGCGAGTAGGATAATGTGATGGAATCCAGTTGCACAGAGTCAATGTGGCCTTCAAGGTCAGTGATGAGTTACACTCGCTCCATGGTGAATGTGGGTCAAAATCCTGATCCAGATATTAGGGGCAGTTACATATATCAGAACGTGATCGCAGGAATCCTAGCTTTAGAAATGAAAGGGCTGAAATTGTAAACAATGGACTGCAGACAGGAATAGAAACGACACAGATATACACGTGCCAGGCGTGGTTCAATAGATTCACTTTTTCGGGGGTAATAATCCCTTCAAAAGAAATAACAATAAATTGGTCACTTCAATCCCCGTTGCTTGTTGGACACTGCTGTGCACAATTGGCTGCCGCGTTTCCTTACAAAATACACAGTCACTACACTTTACAGTAAAATGCTGCCATAAGGTGCTATATATCAGATGCAAGGATTATTATTAATATATCTTGGGATCAAGAGTGAATGTTACTCCCTATACCTCTGAATATTGTTAAAGATTGTTTATGTCTTTGAGGGGTTGTGTGCTGGGAGATAATAATAACAATAATAATCCTTGCATTTGATATAGCACCTTAACACATCTTCGAGGCATCTCAAAGAGATGTGCTGATACAATTTAATGATATGAAGGAATGCCCTCTAACAGGTTGATTAGATTCTGCACGCAGGACATTCATATTTAATGCAATTGTTTGAGTTCAATTGGTCTGTTGAAAACTCTAATAATGTTTATTGAAAAGATATCACAAGCTATGTGGAGACAGCGGCTGATAATAATCAGCTAAAGCCCTTAAGGAAATGGGTTGCCAAAAGAACTGAGCTGGAGGCAGAGAGAGACCCGCGAAGCAGTTTAATGTATAACCTTCCGTTTGTGGGATTGGATAATGGGCCGTGATGATAAGTGCAAACTCATTTACTATTTCATTACAGACGCAAATTAAATACTGGAAGTGTGTCCTCCAAACGAAATGTCAATCAGTTTGTCTCTTATGTAATGGATTCCTCCAAAGCTCAGGCTGACTGAAACAAGAACCGTGAGCTACTGATATAAATAGCCACAGCCAGCGTTAGCACATAGTTCAACAATGTAAAAGATATGCCAGGGAACGTGTGCAAATAGGTGGGTGCATTGTCAGTGATTTACATCTGGTGAACCAGCCATCCAGACTTAGTTCGGGTGTCCTGTTTGTACAACTCGTTTGAATTTGCAAACTATTTTTTTTATATAAACTGGGCTGGGAGTGGATTTGTCAGTCGGATTTATCAGAGTGAGAGAGGCCGTAAAGTGGCGTATCATATACAGTGACTGGTAGAATGTACAAAGGTCACCTTGTAACCCTAATCTCGTCAGCTCAAAAGACAAGGTATTCTGACTGTGCTTTTCGTCAGCTTTGCCCTCTCCACATCTTTCGGCTTCCAGTCTCAGCTCAGGTGCCCAGCCAACAACATCAACAACCACAACAGAAAAAATTACATTTACACAGCACCTTTCATGTCGGGAGGATATCTCAAGGTGCTGGACAGTCAAGGATTTGGACCCGAGCTGGGGGAGCCAGCAGTGTTAAGGAATTTAAGATGTCCTCTTGTCATAAGAAGCGCTATATAAATGTAAATGATATTGCATTTATTACACCCATTGGCTAGAGATGGGATAGCACTTCTAGAGTGTTGTCATTGCATCCAGTCTAATGGGATTGAATCAAAACAATCAAGTGATCTAAACATTTTTAGGAAGAAATGTACATTTTTCTTGGTGATTGAATGGAAGAAATTCTCCTGTTGCAATCCCTGTTGAAACAAATGTGCTCAGTGTGCCTGAAAATGATTTGTTCCAGTCAACAAAGATCAAACCTCAAAAATAGGAATATTTGATGGAAATAATTATTTATAACTAAAGCTGTTAAAAACGTGACATACCAGAAGTGGTCGTGATGAATTCTGTGGTGTTTCGTAATCCAAGAAAAGCAAATTGATAGAGTCTCCAAGAGCGAGTGTCTCCAACCTCCACCGAGCTATGTTTCCATTGGTAGACAATCTCATCCTTGGGATATCCATCTAGACATCAGGATAGAGAAAGTTCAAGGTTTCATTGACTAATGTTTATTACTTTTACACAAGTTTCGCCCACAAAATATACAGTCAATTCACTTTACAGTATGTTCTGTGAAGCGCTTTGAGACGTCGCAAAGACGTGATAAGGCGCTATATCAAATACAAGGATTATTATTATAAACTTGCCGTTTGAAATCGCTTTCACCACTTGTCTTCCACTCTGTGTACTTCTGCTACATTGAAATCAGAGTTAACATCCCCAGAAATGTTCCTGAGGTGAATAAGCCACTTGTTGTGAATGATGACAGCTCTCACTCTACTTTATGGTAAATCCTGTGAAGTGCTTTGAGACAACCTCCCAATGTTAAAGGCGCTGTAACAAATGCTAGGATTATAGTTATACTTTCATGCGCTGGGTGGTTCTGGAATGTCATTCTAATTGGCTGCTCTTTCAACCAATCAGTTTAGGTCCTTCCAGAGATTACGAGTAAGAAAAAAAATCATTATTTAGTCTCAAAAATCCTTTTAAACGCTTGGAATAAATCTTTTAACTCTTAGAGAGTAAATCCTGAGATGGCTATTTGGAATGTCACAAGATTGACATTAGCTGCACTAACACACTGCACTGGTTTGGGAAGTCAATGATATTGTATATTTGTAACGTGAAGGTGGTTGGGTTCCTGAGCCAGGTGCATGTACGGTATCCCAGGGCAGACGTGGCAGACTGGTTTGTCTGCAGATCTTGAAGAGTCAGACCAATAAGTGGGACGAGGGAACCTTCCCGTTTGGCTCCTGTTAACTCTCCAAGCCAAAGCACTAATGAGTGGGGTGTTCCTAGCTGGACCAGCTGTCAGAAGCTTACCAGACAATGTTCTTAGTGTGAAGCTATGCTTTTTACGTGATTAAAACTCCAGCAAAACCCCAACCCACACTCTGTTCAGAGTTGGGTAAGCATTGTGCTTCCCTCCAGAGAGCAAGTGCACATTCTGTTCCAGACACAGGGCAATTTCTACGCGTAGGGGGCGGACAGATGTGGAACTTTTAGTCTGGTTTGGATAGATGTAAGAAAAAAAATTGAAAAATCTGCAAGCATACGATAGATACAGTGATACCGCTCGTAGATTAGCACCCACTCATTTTATGAGTACAGTGAGAGGACAGTAAGAGTGTAAAAATATTCATGTGGCCTCTCTTTCTGGACTAGATACAATTTTTTTTTAATCTTATATTTTGTTGAAGTACCAGGAAGATAAAAATAGGAAACTCTGATGCTTTGCTGTATTGCAGTATTACAGCTATGAATGTCTAGCACTAAGTTATGTATAGCAAACTCATACATACAGCTTGAGAATTCCAAAGGACAGGAATGTTCATCCATTGGGAAGTTGTGTAGTTGAAGTTGGCATTCAGCGTCAATTGTTAACCTAAGCAAAACATGAAATAATATTGTTTGAACTTAAACATCAAACATTGTACATTGTGAGAAAATATGGTTACTGGCACAGCGAGGTACAGAATGAATTAAATATATGGAGAGATATACACAAATAAAATAACTGAAGATCAATTAGCAATGCGGCACAACACGGCAAGGAGTTCAAATACCCGGGGGCACACAAAAAAAATGAGAAGGAGGGTGTGTGACTTGCAGAATAAGTTAACAGAGATGACCTTTGAAATGCAGAGTATAAATAGGTTCAAGAGGCAATTAGACGTGTTCCTAGGGAGAAGTGAAAGAGAAGATTGGGTGATGTGGTTGAGATCAGTCAAAAGGTAGAACATGTTTGGACCTAATTGCCTCTTTTCCTGCATAATTTTACTTTCTTCATTCGCTGCTATTTCTCGTTCAGAATATAGTGGAAATACAAGACGGAAGACACATGTTAAAAATCAGCAAATAAAGCATTCACAGAGTAGAGGAGAAAGTCATCATAAAGAACAATTATTAAATAGACCAACTTTGGCATAATTTGAAAGGAAGATATATTAGAGGCATGTGCGGGTGGTGGTTGGGGGGGGGGGGGAGTGGGGGGTGGTAGGAGGAAAGATAGGAGCATGTAATTCAATGGACAGCTCTTTCAGAGAGTCAGTACAGGTATGATGGGCCGAATGGCCTCTTTCTGTGCTAAGTTTTACAGAACCGTGAGCGAGTTAGGAATTTTGGTCATCCTTGGTGTCACACAAAGGACTGTGACGTTATGGCCTGAATAGTGAGTTGCCCTCATTAACTGTCAAAGTAACGTTCAACCAAACTGCAGTGATTACTCTACAAACCTCACTAGCCTGAGGTTATGTTACGACAGAAAATCAGGCCATTCAGCCCAAACAGACCGCACCAGTGGTTAAACTCCTACAAACTCCCACCCTTCCTTATTCCACTCCTCTACGCAGCTCGATGCCGTCTCCCTCACATACCCTTCAAATCTCCTCTTAATAAATGCGATGATCCTTTGCGCTTCAACCCCAGGTTTCGGCAGTGATTTCCACACGGTCGCCACCCTTCGCGTGAGAGGTGCCACTTGTTACCTTAGTGTGTACAGGATTCTTCCATCGTTCCAAATCCTAAGCATTCGATTCGGAGTTGTAATCCAATGTGCGTCAGCCTTCCTCGAATTTCGGAAGAAAGTGTCAGGGATCCAGATTTTGCCCACCATATTACTGTTCAGCCGAAGCACCTTCATAGAGCTGTTAAATTTCAGACGTCGGTCATACCATGTTTGGGCAAAAAATATATCAATGGTATATTCCTGTTGAATTGAACCAAATATAGTTTAGCATTGTCCACGTCAAACTATTTATTTTACTCACATTGAAACTTCATGATTAAAGCCTTTGTGACCACAATTAATAATCGTTCTCGATGCGAGAGTTGGGAGAAGAGGATGTGTAAAGGGACAATAGAAAGAGAGCAAAGACTCACCAGTTAGTTAACATTTTGTAGTTTCTCTAAAAGTTATTGAATGAGAAATTGCCAGTTTTTATTTTAAATAGCTACGTTTTTATTCAGTTTTACGTCAAAGTAGATTGTTGCGTGAGGAAACATATCATAAAGTAATACGAGACAAATGACACTATTTTCTCGAGCAGTAAAAATAATATGTGCCATATGACAAATGCCTGTTATCAAGCAGGTAATATGAGTTATCTCACCTATTATTATTATTATAATTATTATAATTAATAATATCATTATTATTTGGTAACAAGACAATGTTTATTGTCATAATTCTGTCAGAACAAACTGGCATTGCAGCAAAATTGAAATGGTGACATTTCTACCAGAGACTGAGGTGAGCTTACGATGTCAAGGTTGTTCAGAGTTTAAAGTTACCAAATGAATATTTGCATCATGGAGGCAAATGATCAGATGAGTCAGACATTCAAACCAGGATGAGAAGTAATAATATCTGTGCAGGTGCTATGGCCAGTTTGCTATCAGGCATTTTAAACCATACTTTCTCCACTTGTAATAACAAGTATTGAAAGTAAACAAAATAATTCACTTTGTAATGATTTTCACACAAGATGCTAAGAAATGCACAGTCACTGCACTTTACAGCAAATCCTGTGAAGAGATATTTGAGACATCTCGGTGACATGATAAGGCACTGTGCAAGGATTATTATTATTATTAAGTGAACAACATGCAATAGGAAACATTTGACATTTGCAGGTTATTCCACTTATGGCTTTCATGTTCTGCATTTAGTAATATATTAAATAATATACATGGAATCTGGCAAGTAAACTTGAAACAAATTTAAAGTTAGGGAGCGAATCTATTTATAATAATAATAATCCTTACATTTGATGTAGCACCTTATCACGTCATTGAGACGTTTCAAAGCGCTTCACAGAATCTACTATGTTTTGAGCTGGATTTTATGAAACAAAGACATGGAAGAGCAAACTTTCCTTAAAAGTAAATAATCTGGTGACAATAAAATGAGATAATAGTGAAATCTACACACTGCTACAAAGGGGAAACTGGTATCAGTGGGAGCTTTAGATAGCACCAGCTAACTCGAAATCAATAATATAATAAAATTAATGCATTGCACTTCCTGGCACGTAGAAATATGGCTGTGATAAAATATCAGCGCAAACTTTAACCTTTTCGGCTATTTTTGGATCCATTCATTGGAGTATTCTAAGATCGCTCATTAAATGCTCCTTTGCTCAAAAGTCTAATAACTCAAACTCAAAAGGTGATGCAGTACAATAGATCTTTAACATAATATGTCACGGAGTCTGTCAATGTGGATCTGTGCCCACAATTCTGTGCCAACATAGTTAATTCTCGCTGTAGCTGTGTATTCTTCACAAGAGGCACAAAGGGGCAGAGAACACCATTGAGTCCTCACAAGGCAAAAAAAAAACGAATGAAGACTGGCTATTCTCACGTAAACTTGGTTTGGCAAGTACTGGAGTCACACAGTGCGTTCCTATTTGCTTGGCCAAGCGCAGTGGTTAGCGTGGGAGACTGATCAAGGGGTACAGAGAGAGAGAGAGAGAGAGAAAGAGAAAAGAATCGTCTTAACAAAAATATCAGGATGGAAAGTTAATGTCTTACACAATGTCAGCCAGGAGGACCCTGGGTCTCAATACCCTCGAGAAGAGAATTAGCCAAACTTCACATTTTATCATTACGCCATGATTTATAATCACAATTTGCACGTAGGACAGGACAGGGTTTGGCTGTGATGGCACCAATGATATCTATGCTATAGAGGAGTTACTCACTACCTCTGACATTCAGTAGCTACTTGGACACGATCAAATAACACTGCCATGTCATTGGTACTCAATCAGCTACATTCTCATTAGGCTTAGCAATAGCTCAAGAGATTGAGTACGACATTGCGATTGTGATTGTAAAGCACCTTACACAAAGGATGAACGTCTCGAAGCACTTCATGCAGTTCTCAGTCCACATTCCTCAAAGGTAATATCGCATTTGCTACCCATATCTAGACTTACGATTGTGGAAGAGAATGCTTCCCAGTGACATTTGGTTTTCCCTGACATTTAAGAATTTTTTACTGTATCAGGAGATGACATATTGAGAGGCGCTGTCAACCTGTTTAATTGTATAAAGAAAGCTGTATGTGCGGTGACATTCTTTTAGCTTGGGTTGAAATTGATGCATTCCTGACATTGATTTAAAGAAGGGATTTAGCTTTTCCATATTTCCATCAGGAGAGTCAAATCCATTTCTCGAGCTAACAGCCACTCACCAGAAACTGACTGGATGGTTTATGTTAAAAAAAAAAGGCTGTACTCTTAATACTGATGTTTCCTACAGCTGAAGTGCAATAAATACTTTGGAGGAAAAAAGGCATAATTGATCCTTGTGACAAGATTGAACACATTATGACTGTAAGCATCAATTTCCATTGTTTCCTTAGAAACATTATACAGCGCTTTAGGAGCTAAATAATGAAGGATTGGAACTTGTATTTGCACAATACAAAGATTGTAATTTGAGTATAATAGGAGCTTAATCACTTTAAGAGTGTGTAGGGCCTCTGAAATAGTAGTCAACATAAACGGATTACCCCAAAATCCAAATTCACTGGGAGGAACTTTTAATTTAACTGACACTAAACATGAAGTTACTTTTGATTTAAGTTAATATTATGCACAAACAAATCCAGTGGAGGTGACTAATAAACAGGATATGTTAAGTGCTCAGTCATGTTGTACACTGTTTTGAGATGCTGGTAAATTCAATATGAACCTCTCTGCTGGAGGTGATGAACCAATAATCTAATTTCAGTCTGAAAGCCCAGACTAGTCGTTAATCTATTCATTCAGGTTCCCCACGAACCAGGATAAAGAAAACCAATGGCACACAACCCACAGAGCCACCCGCTCGTAAGGAATTCACCATTCCTGTGGAACCAAGAGCAAGCAACTATCTCAAAGAGAACTGAGCGAAAGATAAGTATCCGGGCAATCTGGTGGCAAGAACAGAATTAAGCAACTGAATGGGTCTGTCGTTTAGCTCATCTTCTGTTCAATGTCAGAAATAAAAGTTGAAAACGTTCTGAACTTGTTCGGATCATACGTCTTTGGCCGTGCTTTCAGTCACCTTTCCTTTTCCCAGCCAGCAGTGTGAGGCTCTTTGAGATGTCCTCCCAGGTCTCAAGGGTGAAGGCGTGATATAAATGTAAATTGCATTATATCTGTAATTTGCTGGGAGATCGTATTCTTCAACAAGAGCCTGCCTTTAAAATTGTGCAAGTAATTCAATCTGGGCTTCTGTTACATTTTGTGCTGCAATTAAATTAAAAGTAATTTGCATAATCAAGAATACCCTAACGTTTCCTTCATATATTCATATTGATTGAAAAGGTTGTAAGACTCAACGAATAAAGGTACAGTGAAGGTTTCAGTGAATAAATTATTGAAAGGATTATACACATGATGTATACTGTCCCCGGCTCAGTCGGTAGCACTCTCTCTTCTGAGAGAGAAGGTTGTAGGTTCAAGCCCCACAGCTAAACTGCAGTGCAGTTCTAGGGTCAGCAACATCGGTGAATCTACCAACAGAGGAGATGGAAAACCAAGGTCCCATCCATCTGTTCTGGGAGATGTTAAAGATCCCAGACACTATTCCAAAAGAGAAGAGAGTTTCTCCCAGTGTCCTGGCCGTTAATCCCCCAGATACAATAGGTCACTGATCTCATGGCTGTTTGTGGGACATTGCTGTGTCTTCGCCTACAAACATGCACAATCAGTAAATACAGTCAAATCTTGTGAAGCTCTTTCAGGTGTTTTGACAATGTGAGTAGGTGCTATATCAAAGGCAAGGATTATTATTATTATAATGTGTTATAATCTAAAGGTGACCAAAGACATAGTTAGAGAGATGGAGTTTTAGGTTGAAAACCAGGCAGAGAGGTAGCAAGGCAAAGTGGGCTTGGAAGGAAGCTATAAGAGGAGAAAGCGGGACATTAACAATGACTTGCATTTATATAGTGGACTTCACGTGACCAGCAACTACAATAGCAGCGGCCAGGGGCTGGGATACAGGGCTAGAGAAGGTTAAACAAAGGAGAGTTCAGCAAAGGCACGGAGGAAATTGAGAACCTTAAAATCCATCTGCCGAGAAACAGATATCATTAGGTTTCGAAGCTGGGCGACGGGAACCTGAGAATGTAATTTAACAAAACCGTCTCCTTAATCCTCAACAAGACATTCCAGATCATTCCGAATCGATGCTAGCGCTCGCCGTGAACAGTCGGATGATTTCTCTCCGAAGAAAACACACAAAAATAACTCAACACCTAGACTGCCCCTAAGAGAAGGTGAAAGTGGATCTCACTCACCATATTGAGAGCATTCACTGGACCAATGCTGTTTATGTACATGTCAGTGTGAACTATCGTCGGTTTTACTGGAACGAAACAGTGCAAATTATCAGGATTGGTTTAACTTAACAACAATAGCAACGACAACCACAACAAACAACAACAAGATCACATTTGTATAGCAGCGCCTTTCACGTTGGGAGGATGTCACAAGGCGCTGGCTGGACAGTCAGGGATTTGGACCCGAGCTGGGGGTTGGGTTCAGGAGGAGCGGAGGGCAGGGAGAGTAGGGGTAGGAGGGTGACCGAAGGCCCAGTCGAAGATGAGGGTCTTGAGTCAGTCTTGAAGGAGGCGAGGGAGGGGGGCGAGGTGAAGACATTGTTCCAACTTAATTGGTGACATGAAATAAAGACAAAGGCTGGCTAAACAACAGAAGTGCCAGGTATTAATTAGGAATAAGTACCTCCTATATCGGGTCTGAGTTTATTGTCGTAGCCTTCCAATAAGTTGTTTAAAATATCAGTCACGTCGCTTTTGGAAATCTTTGGATTTAGCATCCACGTTTTATTAGGAGTAACATCTTCGTAATCGGCATCTTCAGTTTTACTGGAACTTGAGAGGTCAGGACAAAGAGAAGAGTGAGAATAAGTTAATGAACAAATCAATAACAACAACAAGAACAACTTTATATAGTGCTCTTCACATGGGATAGTATCCTGGAGCGCAGACACAGAGCAGAGTAAAAGTTCAATGGCGATATGAAGAAAGATTTGCAGCGATTATACTTTACCGTGTAATAGGCATGCACTTGAATCTGATCATAGAATTATACAGCACAGAAGGAGGCCATTTTGGCCCATCATGTCCATGCTGGCTCTTTGAAAGAGCTTTTCCAAATTAATCCCACTCCCCCCTCCCCCACTCATAGCCCTGCAAATTTGTATATTATATATATCGTAAAAGTATATCCTGTGAAGCACTTTGAGACGTCTCAAAGACGTGATAAGGCGCTACATCAAATGCAAGGATTATATTATTATGATTATAATAAATAAAACTAACTGGGTCTGTCAAAAAGCTTAGAACACATGTGACTTTTCCTGTGAGGTAATAATGCCACAAAGCCGGTCGTCATGTTTCCCACACACAATTTTATTACATTTGCTCTATCCCACAATACGCAGCCAGAATACAGAGAGAGAGAGAGAGAGAGAGAGAGAGAGAGAAAGGATTTTTTTTGGCCAGCTGGGTGTCTGACACATGCAGAAACCCATCATCGTGTTTAAGAGTCTCCAAACCAAGCTAAGAATTCCAAGCAGCCCACCTACACATGGAAATCCCAGAGATAGATTGCTGGAATGGAGTGCGCTCTCTCTCCCTGGAGGGACACATCCTGCTTACCTTAATCTGGAAAGTATTAGGCGCAGGTTGGCGAGAGCCAAGGCTTGAGGGGAGCCCAGAGTGTGCGTTGGGTTAACTGCTAAGAGTCTAACCAACTAAAACCGCAACAGCTTGCCATTGATATCACTGACTGAGCAGAGAGTGTGTGGACACATCAACAGCGAACCAACAGTTTGCACTGGACAGGGAGGATTTCCATATTTAATAACTTCTTCTAATATGCACACCAGGCAAAACACACACTGTTGGTTCATTTCATTCCCACACCAGAGATGACTTTACTGCAGAGGAACAACAAGGAATATACAACATTCACTTTCTCAGGAATTTTGATGCTTTAAGCAAGTTAGATCATTATAACATTTGACAGAATACTTCAGAACTATGGGGGATTAGTTAAGTTGAATAAATTAGCACGTGTCTCTACTCTGGTTGGTACTTTCACCGAACAGTTGGCTGAGGTTTGCTGACCTAGGTTTAAAAGACATAACTAATAGTTTAATTAAGTCAAGAGCCTGATCTGGACTATTGGACTGTAACTCTGTATAGTTTATAGGATGGCTGGCATCTTTATTGGAGGCCATACCCTACGAGTTGCAATTGTGGTGCCTATTTCAGTTACAGCAATAATTTAGTTCAACATTATGCACCGTTTAGGTTATTTGATCATATTGTCTCCAACCGAGTAATGTCCAATCGTAAGAGTTTGAGGAAAGGGGAGAAGGGGAGCATTTCATTATCAATTCTCAGGACAGACTATATTGTTTCAGGAATCAATGAAACAATAACCTGTAAAACAGCAGCTTACAACAACCGTACAGCCCCTGGGTGTCCACACTGCCTTGACTTTCTCTACAAGTCGAAGTTTCGCTCATAAAATACACAGTCCAGTCAATTCACTTTACAATATATCCTGTTAAACGTCTCAACAATGTGATAAGGCGCTGTATCAAATGCAAGGATTATTATTATTATTGTAAGTAAAGCATGTGTGTGAAAGCAATCAAAATTTTAAATATAAGATTTATATTTATCGCTTATGTTGCACTTTAATAGTTATTCCAAAAGAAAGAATAAAACATACAAACATAAATAACTGTAGAAAGGCAAGCGAATCATTCCCTGAGAGGAGAGAAGCAGAGGAAAAGAGAACTTTCATTGTCCTAAGGCTAGACTCTATAATCGCCCTGAACTCCTCGTCTTCTCTTTAATGCGGATTTATAGGAAGACTTACACAATTCTTGCCCAGGGCTGTGGCTTATCGACATTGCTTACCAAAACGATGTGATAAAAGTCAGCCTTTTCTATTTCCAACTACCCTTCCTTACTCCCAGTTAAGTCAGTATCAGTATTGGGGTCGCTCTGTGTTCAGCTGCTGTTTATCTTCCAGGGATGATGTCAGCAGTTCACTGGGTAAAACCTCCTCCAAGTTCTCTTTTTAACCTGACAATGGTTTACAAATAGGTACAATATTCTCTAAAGAATTATAGAATGATCTGAACCACATCACTGATGCTTGCTTACGTCTAGGCTTGAAAGCAAAAAGCAACCCATCACATGTTTAATGCATGTCTAATGCGTTTCACCCACAAAATATACAGTCAATCTACTTTACAGTGTATCCTCTGAAGAGCTTTGAGACGTCTTGAAGACATGATAAGGCACTATATCAAATACAAGGATTATTATTATTATTGTTATTATTATGGCAAATATGTCATTCGGGTTATTTCAGTCCCGGTCTGAAAAAAAATTATAATTTTTGTGGGACGCTGCTGTACGCAATTGGCTGCTGTGTTTCGCCCACAAAATATACAGTCACTTCACTTTACACTACATCCTGTGAAGGGTTTTGAGACGTCTCGAAGACGTGATAAGGCGCTATTTCAAATGCAAGGATTTTTATTTTAGGGTTATTATTCCTCATCGCTCTGGCTCCGAGCTGACAGCAATGCCATGTTAGGAGTCACACTTGGTGTTTTCCTCTTCAAATGCTCTCGGGAAATCCCAAGCCAACGGCATCGGCCCAAGCCCAAGCTTCACTGACGCCGGCAGGGCCTACATTAAATTTTCAAAGCATCTATTTTTACTCTGTGCTACTTTTCCCTATCTGCTCGTCATGTTTTTTGCTGTATGAATCTATATGGTTCATGTAAATCGGCTTTATCCCCACTCAACATCAGCCTGAACAGACCCAACACCAAATTAAAATCAACTTTACATAACCATGTGAATTTTGCATGTGTGGGTGAGCACCTTATGTACACGTGTGTAAATGTATATTTAAGCGTGTGTGTGTGTGATGAACTTACATAAGGCATATTTACCATCTCTTCCTGGATGTGCAAAAAACACATCAGAACAGCCTTAATAGATAAGCTTTCATCTGTGTAGGTATGTGTGTGTGTGTGTGTGTGTGTGGGGCGGGGTGGGGGTCGCTGGGGGCAGATATTAAGGATAAACTATTCGTCAGGAAAAAAAAGAGAGCATTTTAACAGAAACAAAGGCTGCTATTAATCCAGTGGCAATTTCCTGGCTGTTTAACATTCCAGGCAAGTCTCCATCCTCAGTACAGAGAGAGAGAGAGAGAGAGAGAGGGGGATAAATCTCTCTGTGGATAAATCACAATGGTTCTTTTCCCACAATCACAAACAATCCTTGAACAATGGGATTCCTGGATCCCTGTCGTTGCCGGGGTCTGATTAAAGCCCTTTCCACATCTCAATATCAAGTCCTATTAAAGAAAAACAGCAGCACTCTCTCTCTCTGTCTCTCTGACCAGCATCCTGACAGCAAGCTTCTCATGTGGGGGAGAGAGAGAGAAAGAGAGAGAGCAAGAAGGCGTTTTAATTCTGATTACAATAGATGGGCAAACATTCTACACAGACATGCTACTCACCAGCTTGGGAGATAGGAGATCAGAAATACCCAGTAGATGATCTTGATGGTGAAGGAGGAGGCTTGAATCGTTGGGGCTGGATGTTGGTACTGGATTGTGTGAGAAGCCATCTCTGGTGTTCTGGCTTATTGCTGGCTGTGTCCTTTCTCACGTCGAACATTGACTGAGGAACATAGCAGAGAGAGAGAGAGACAGCTTTCCCTTTGCCTTGGCTTTGTTTCTGATGTGAAATTGACAAACATCATCTAGACGTCAGATCACACAGCATCAACCTCAGCATCTCACACACAAACCATGGCAAAACTACAGCATCAGCAGCAGCAGGAGGGGAGGGAGGGAGGGGGCAGACCACAAACACATTTAAATCGATTTCACAATGATGTGAGAATAAATATCCTTTCGGATTGCAAATCAACATGGGACACGTCAGCGTGGAAACACAACAGTATTTAATGCACTTTCCCATCTGCAATCATCTGCCTGGGATTTGGATTGCATTTTGGAGATGATATATATATATATTATATTATATATAATATAGACACACACAGACTGTATATGATTGTATATTTACCTTGTGTGTTTTTTTTAGGAATGTGGCATCTGTCCAGAGGTTAAAGTATCTGAAATCAAATTCCACCAGGCTTCTTGTTAGGCACTTCTCTCGCATAGGAAATACATGTATATGCTGTGTATTCACAATTCCCCTTTATGAATCAAGAGGCTGCTGATTTGACTGTGTTAAAAAAAAAGAGGCTGCTATTAACAGAAGCTGCTCCATCTGTAATGGGTGAGCTTTCACGTGAAGCCAGCCACAGAGCAGTGCAGAGGGTGAAATGTGTCATAGCAGCCTGGTTTAATCCACGCTTTAACACAGATTCACAGGCAAAAAAAAACACACACACACACAAATCAATTCACACCGATGGTGTTGATTGATTGGCAGATTAGCATTTATCTAACGATACATGGACCCTTTCCGAGGGTAATAATCCCTTCAAATTAATAACGATAACAATGTGGTCACTCAACCCACGGCTGTCTGTGGGGACGTTGCTGTGCGCAATCAGCTGCCGCGTTTCACCCACAAAATATATAGTCACTACACTTTACAGTATATCCTATGAAGCGCTTTGAGACGTCTCGATGACGTGTTAAGTTGCTACATCAAATGCAAGGATTATTATTATTATTATTATTGATTTAATGATAATGACTTCAGAGCTGTGGACATGGAGAAGGTTTTGAAAACATCACTCAGTTATTGCTGTAGCTGTGATTTCAAGCCCCATATTGGCATGTTAATAATAATAATAATCATGATGTTGATCTCACATCCCAGTTCAGCACTGGAGGAGCTGTTAAACTCAGGTCCTCTCTATCTATTCTGGTGAATGTTATGTTTTGATGCCTCAGAACTATTCGAAATAGAAGGCAGTTTCCTCTCAATGTCCTGGCCAACAATCCTACAGCTAAACTTGATCGTTCACTTTGCGCCTGTTTGTGTGCAAATCTGACCTACAGATACAAATATACAGACACTACACGTTACGGCATTTACGTTGGTGCCTCGAGATGTTTCAATGCTCTATATGCTCTATATTAAATACAAGGATTACTAACTATTCAAGCGCTCTGAGACGCCATCCAGCGCGGAGGGCGCTATATAAATCCAAGTTGTTGTTATTATTATGGTATTTGATGATCATTTTGATCAAAGTCCTTTGAAATGCCCTCACAGTATGAAAGACACTATTTAAATGTAAAGTGTTTTGTATTTTTGTTTAATTTAGGATTTAATAATAATCCTCATTTCATATAGTGCAGTTCACGTCTCAAAGCACTTCACGAGATATACTGTAAAGTGTAGTGACTGTATATTGTAGACTATATATATATAGTACACTGTCTGATAGATGATTAACATATGTCTGAGGTCATCAGTGTTGCTTATAATCAAAACTTTTGATTTACTTATATTTATTTGCTTTTCTTTTTCAATTTTTTTAATTCTTCTTCGGTTACATTGTCCCTTTCAGAACTCTGTCCTTGGTAACAGGATCGTGTAAATCATTACTGTGGGTGTGGGAGTCGATAGTTATTGCTTTGCTAAATAAAAAAAAGATGTAATACCATTCTCTTGTGATGCATTACAAGATATTGCGGATCTAGACAGCTCTCACTGCATTACAAGTTAGAGAAGATATTGGATATCTCAAACCACAGGACAAGATGCAGAGGACACCAAACGAGACTCACTTAACTGCAAACAGAGGCTGCGTTGACTGGCGTAATGAGTACCTTTGCTCTTTGTCTTGCAGTGTTCACTACAATTGTCATAATAATCCTGTAATAATCCTTGCATTTGATACAGCGCCTTATCGCATTGTTGAGAGGTCTCAAAGCGCTTCACAGATTATATTGTAAAGTGAACTGACTGTGTATTTTCTGGGCGAAACGCGGCAGCTAATTGTGCACAGCAGCGTCCCCACAAACAGTCGTGGATTGAGTGACCACGTTATTATTTGGCATTTACCAGACAATACAATGAAGACACTGTTGGGGTCTAAAAATGCCACAGAAAGTTGTGAAAAAGGTCTGAAATATCAGAGGATGAAGAAGTCACAAAATGTTTTTTTTAAAAGTATATTTGTATAATCCTAAACTACACAAAAATACAATACAATCGACATTTCAAAACATTGTTAGATAAACAATGTTAGTAGTTACATAAATATGAATGAGCGATCAACCTGTACCAACCTGTGTTTGCCACATTCAAAACTGGATGGCTTAACTCCCTTGTGTGATAAATACTGTATCACAAACATTCTCATCTCCTCTGTATATTTCACTGGTTCAATGTTATTGTGTGTTGTACAAACAGTACTGTAAATGTCACACAGAACAAACCATTTATTTTGTGCCGCACACAAGATTCAAGTGTAGTCATTGGCACATCTCACACTGAAATCGCACATACTCATCACAAGAGTCTAAAACAAAGCTAATCTTTCCCGCACAATGATCAGACTCCACAGCAACTTGGAGACATTCTCCACCTTGTCCAATCTCCAGTGATCAATTTGAAACAATGATTTCCTCTCCCTCACAGTCCTCCCTTCCCTTCCTCACACACACTCACGGTGGCCAACAATTGCTATTCCAATCAACACACCGCAAACAGAATCAAAGGTGATCAAATCTGCTACCAGAATAAAAAGGATTCTCTCCCTAGATGCCAACAGCACATTTCACTATGTTTAACCGGTACTTTTCACCGCCCCAATATTTTCAGTAAAAACTGCGCTTGGAAATGTTGTGTGAAATAAAATTAAACATAAATAACCATAATTGAATCGACAAGCAAGATTTTTGGTGGATGTGTGAAAATATTGAGCTATTAAACAAGAGTTAATCTAATAATAGTAATAATATTTGCCTTTGATATAGTGCCTTTGCATCAGGAGAACGTCTTACAGTGCTTCACACGATTTACTGCAAAGTGGAGTGACTGGATTTTGTGGGTGAACAAGTCAGCCATTTTGCACACACGAGTGGCTCACAAACAGGCAATGAAGTGAATGATGAATTTTAACTGGAGGATTGTTGGCCAGGACAAATGGCTCTTTTCAAATAGCCACGGGATCTTTAACATCAACCTGAACAAACAAATGGGACCTCGGTTTAACATCTTGTCTGAAGGGTGGCACCTTCACCAATGCAGGGCGCATTGGAGCATCAGCCTAGACACGGAGCTTGAACCCACAACCTTCTGAGTGGTGGGAGTGGGTACCAATTGATCCAAACTGACGTTAAGGCCATCACACGATTACACAAAATGGCCACCAAATAACAATGTCCTGCAGGGTATACAGCCGTATTGTTTCGGAATGGATGTTGCACAGAAGATTTGGTAATAAATCGTATCACGTGCATCCTGATGTCGATCCCCGTCATTAACAAGCCAGGCTGATTTTCCCAAAAGTTGGATCAAATGCCTGCCACGTATTAAATATCCGAATGTTTATTAATGAAGCAAACATATGTTATCACATCTAAATATGTATAGACCTGTGAAATTATTCAGTGTCAAAACACCCACACAAGATTCTATTGCCACACTCTCATGTTGCACATTGTAGGTTACAACACGGAAACAGGCTATTCAGCCCAACTAGTGTTTATGCTCCCATACGAGCCTATTTCCCTCTCCATGACCTTTCTGTTCCCTTCCCTCACAGCTTCCAGCAGCAGTTAATAACAATAATCAAGGTATAATAATAATACTCAAGGTCACTTAATAACAATAATCCTTACATTTAATGTAGACCTTAATAAAACACCTTAATAAAGCTGCTATGTTACATGTAAGAATTGTTGTTATTAAGTGACCTTGAGTTTAGAGATCCAAAGAGATAGTGTCCAGCACATATCCACATTGTCTAATATCTTGTTCGATCAGTGAGTGAAGTCATGGTCACTAAGACCAAGACTGATCCTCTCCACACACGGTGCACAGTTTGTTGTTGTTGTCCCCACATGCCCCCCCGTCTATTAGGAAGAAGCAATCCTGATTTATTCACACTCCCTATTTGAAGGATCCTGTCTTTAACCACTTTTCCTAGTAAATCTCTGGAGCTGCTATTTGGCTTGTGTGTAAAGAAAAGAACATTACTGCTGGAAACTTGCCCTTTACAATACTGAACTTGTACATTTTTTGCATTACTGCCTTATTGGATCTGCAATTATTATTCTGGGTTTGCTTTCTCAAGTATGACATGTTACATTTCCTATATAAAACAGATGTCCTGAGGTGAAAAAGTCCTGGTGTGTCTACATACACAGGAATCATATTCACTTTACAGCACAATTAGTGGTATAGTTTGGCTTCTCTTTGTAAATCACAGGGCAATGCCTGGGCTCATCACACCTCTGTTAATACTCTACCTAGTTTAGGAGTTTATATGATAAGGTTGGGGAGGTTTTAGAGTGATCGGGACTGTTCAGAAGAATTTAGTCCCTTCTATTTGGAGGTGAGTTTGGAGACCGTTCAATTCATCACGCTGTGCCTGCCGGCTTCTCTGAGAGAGAGCAAGCCATAAGTGATTGTTCTCTCACCTGTTGGCCTTGAACATATCTCTCTATCCCCGTTACTGAGTTTCTCATCTTACTCCGTTTTATCTGCACGTTGTTACTAGAGTCATTATTAGTCTAGATGTTCTTCCCCATTCATCTTCTACTCCAAATACATCAACCCAAACACCCTTCCTCTGCTCTCCAACCTCAATGTATTGTCATTAACACTCCCATTCTAACTTCCTCTTTGCCAGGATCTCATTACCAGGAAACTCCTCTCTCCCTCAATCTGTTCTTCTTCCAACCCTATACAGCCTTTTAGACCCACGCTTGACATTCTGACGTACCTGATGTCTTTTTTTGATCTCTTCAGACTTTGTGGTCACTTGGACTATGGAGCTCAGACCCTCACCTTGATTTCTCGATAAATAAAGAGATGAAAAACAGTGCATAAAAAAATATATAGTGCATTGAAGAATAAACACCAGTTAAATGATGGACGCTGCAATGTACATTATATTCATGTCACGCATACGTTACATTGGACATTGGAATGAAAGATGAATGTAGTCTGTTTGGTCAGGTACCTGTTCGAGATCCCATAGAACTATTTGAAAAGAGAAGTGAGTTTCTCTCTCCCAGTGTCCTGCCCAACAATTCCCACCCTCCCACCCCAACTCACCAAACCC